GTCATCACAATGGAATGCTTAAGGACAAAATGCGCAAACAGAAGTGCAAATGCAATTGCGAACATCAAAATTCAATTCTTTAATATCAAAATTCAATTCATTGATATCAAAAAGCACGGAACGAACAACAAAATCTAGAACTTGGAATGCAAAATTCAAATATTAATTTTGGCGGTAATCACCCTCCATAGAAGACTGGGGTAATACATATGTTCTTAAACGTACATGCAGGGCTTCTGGAAAGTGATCTTTCCTGAGCTGTTCGACTTTGCATTTTCAGACTTTCTGAGTTTAGCATGTTAGGACATGCAGAAGACTAACATGTCCTTGGATGTACGCTAAGCTGACCTAAAATCCAAGCATCTTAAGTGGGGCGAACATGTGAAAAATCCTACAGCTTCCTGTTATGCTACAATTGCAGTATTGAGGAAGCTGAAACACCTGGCCCCGTATAATCATAGGTCTCCCGAAAAGTCTTTTATTTAAAAAAATCCATACAATTTGCTTTAAAATGCAATGCTTTGACATGCAATGCTTCAATGTACAGTAAAACCTCTATATTTTGTATTACATGAAGTACGTGTAACATCACAATAGCGTTGCGTCATTATGTAATATATATCCCCATTGGGGATATATATTACATACACGCGTAAAAATCATCATGTTGATGCAAGTTGTTCACAACAGGAGCGAACAATGTTGTGCTGCACCCCGTGAACAATATTGTTAACAATGTTGTTGAACCATCAACGTTGTTGCAACTTGTTGACAATCATGTTATCAACTTGCAACAATATTGATGACTGAACAACTCGGAACAACTTGTTAACAATATTGTTCACGGGGTGCAGCACAACATTGTTCGCTACTGTTTGAACAACCTGATCAATTTTTACCCGTGTAATGACACAACGCTATTGTGATGTTGCACGTACTTCATGTAATACAAATTATAGAGGTTTGACTGTACATTGAAGCATTGCATGTCAAAGCATTGTATTTTAAAGCAAATTGTATGGATTTTTTTAAAATAAAAGACCTTTTCGGGAGACCTATGGTATAATTTGCGTAAGACCTTGGCAGAGTCACTTGTCCTGTCGAAACTGGATTACGGTGATACAGTCTTCTATCCATTAACAAATGTAGATTTGAAGCGGCTCCAGAAATGCCAAAATGCCGCAGCAAGCTTCGTCCTAGGGAAATACGATAAAGACCGGGAAAATCTTGAAAAGGTCGGATGGCTCCCCATGAAGGAAAGAAGAGACTTGCACCTCCTACAACAAACTTTTAAAGCAATTCATTTTCCTAACTGGCCTCGATATCTAAGTTTAGAACAGTCCGTAAACGAAAGAAACCTCCGGTCACAAGGCTGCATTCGTTTAAAAGTACCATTAGAGAACAAAACTTTTCAGGACAACGCCTCAAAACTTTTTAATTATTTGCCAATTCACATTAGAAACTGCAAGGATTTTTACTAAATTAACCAAAGATTTTTAAATCGAACAGAAGTAATTAATCTTATAAATTTTATATATTGTTATGCATGAGTCAATTCCAGGAGTAACCATCCCCCCCCCCCCC